TGGTGTTTTCTTGCCGTTGCCTGTTCCTCTGGGAACGTTTGGGTGTTGATTTTGGGTCTGAGCCTCTGGGTTTAGGCTCAGTGCCCCTGGCTGGTATGCTTGCTCCCACACCTTGCCCCTCGGTTTTCGGTCTGTTGGGACCGTTTTCCCAGGGCGTTCTGCTGGGGTCTGTGCTTTGCCTTTTAGTGGTGTTCTCCGCCGGCAAATGTGGTGGTTTGGGCTCCCCCTGGTTCGATTCTGGGTTCCTTTGGGTTCCTTGGTTTCGTTCTGGAGGTTTCTTCCTCTTGGGCCCCCTTTTGTGGGTTCAGGGGACTTTGTTTCCTCGTGTGACCCGGTTCTGCCTTTTGGGGTTCCGGGGTCTTCCTGGCTTGCAGACTGAGCTTTTTGGGTCTTGGCACATGTTGTGGTTGTGCTGGGACTTTGTGGTTTTGCTGTCGAGGTGGGCCTTTTGATGCAGTTTTGTGCCTTCTTTGCCTGGCCGGCGTAGTGCTCTTTGCCACTAGTCGGCGGCTTGTGCTTTTACAATATATGTCCTCACCTAGTTGTGCTTGTGGGGGTTGAGCTCTGGCTCCTTGGTCCTGCCTCTCAACCGTCCGTCAACAGGTGTATCGGTTCCTGTGCCTCTTGGGCTCTGTCATGTCTACATGTGAAATTTTATGGGGGTCAGCCTGGTTACTTGTGTGAGGAGTCGCCACATTACTTCTTCGTGCTTTCCCGTTCCCATTCTGACACAAAAAAAAAAAAAAAAAAAAAACTAATTCTATCTGTGGCTCTTTTGGGTACTCAGTTTCCACCTGTGTCCCCTAGTGCGTGTGCCCCTTGTGTTACATAGCCTGTCCTTCTCAAACCTGTCGATTCCCTTGGGTATCTTGTATGTGGTGATCAGGTCTCCCCTCACTTCCTCTTCCAGCGAAGTGTGGTTTCATTCCCGTAGTCTCTCCTCATGACTTCGGTAGTGTACTTTTTCTTTCTGAAGGGGTTCTGTTCCCTTCTCTGTTGACTGGGCGCTGGGGGAGCAGCTTGCTCTGTTGCCTCTCGCTTGGTCCCGCTGTTGGTGGGCGCTTTGGGTTGTCTTCCGGCCTCTGCTGGCGTCGGAGGACGGCTTCTCCCCCTTGGGGGGGGTTCAGAGCTGGCGGGGTGGGCTTCTTCCCTGCGCTTCGTCTTTTCCTCTTCGTGGGTGCGTGGGGCGTGGTCGATCCGCCCCATCCTTCTGGGCTTCCCGTCTGCTCTTTGCAGTCATGGGCTTTTCCCGTCTGCTCTTTGCAGTCATGAGCTTTTCCAGTCTGCAGTTCTTCTGGACTACTTCCGTCTGCGCCCTGGATCCTCTGCCCTGCTCGGAGGACTGTTGTCTCCTGTTCGGATTCTGTTAGGGCCGGGTGCATGGATGGTGGACCTGGACCTCCAGGTCACTTCTTGGCACGTTCCTCTCCAGTTTTTCTGGGGCTAGCACGGTTGGTAATTACCTATGTGTACTTACCTAAGTGTAGTTACAGGATGAGAGCTACTCTCGTGGTGTCCTTTCTTCCCAGCACTTTGTCATATAATGCTTTGATTATAATTGTCATATTGTCATATAATGATTGTCATATGTCATAATGTCTTAATATGATTGTCTTACAATGCTTTGGTGGTGGGGCTTCAGGTTTGCTGTTTTTATTGCATTCCCTATTTTGTGAAGGGCACTTTGTATACTCTTTGCATCTTTACCGGATCTTAGTGCCCTGTCTGCGTCTGAGATTCGGTGTCTGGCCTACCTCGACGACTGGCTGGAGTGGGCTCCCAGTCAGTCCGCTTGTCTGCTCGCCAGGGGTTGGTTCTTTCCAGATCGCTGGGTTTGGTTTCCTGGTGATCTGGAGGTTTTACCTTCGGTTTCCGTCCCGGGTTCGGACCTGGGCCTTGTTTCAGGCTCTTGGGCCCCTCATTGTCTTCCCTCCAGAAGTGTTACTGTGGCTGTGGTCCCGCCTTTGGCTGTTCAGGCTCACAGCCCGGTTCAGGTGTTCCTGGCTGTCTGGTTTGCGCTTCGGAGGGTTTGGGTCCCTAGGTACTCTACCATTCAGCTCTGTTTGGACTGTTCTCTGGTGGTTCTTGCCGGAACCACAGGGGGTTTGGTTAACCGTGTGGTTCGTGTCCGGGGTGTGTCCTGCGTCCTGGTGGACAGCTGTCTCGGTTCATTCCTCTTCGTGGGTTGGCCAGTCGTCGCCGATTCGTTTTGTTGGCTCTGTTGGGCTTATGGACTCCTGGCCATGGACGTCTTCGGGTCGGCGTGGTCTAGGCGTCGCCCGTTTTGTGGCGCCCTTCCCACCTGCGAGGACTTCCCGGTGGAGGCTTTCGGCAGGCCTGGTCGAGGTGGGGGGTACCTGTACCTCTTCTCCCGGTCCAGCTGTTGCTTCGGGTTCTGGCTCGGTTGCAGCCCATTCCCACGAGAACAGTCCTTATGGTTCCACGGTGGCCGGCCCGGCCTTCTTTTCAGACGCTGCTTGATAGGTGTCCGTACCCGGGGCGTTTTTCCTGAGGCTTCGCCTCTTTCAGCAGGCCGAATCGGTCCTGTCCGTGACTGGTTCGGCCCTCTCTTTGGCTCTTCGCGTCTGGTATTTTGACGCAGGTATCGCCATCTCTATGGTGTTCAGGTGGCTTTGTTGACGGTGTCCCACCTGCGAGCTTCGTCTTGGAGACTGTATGACGTTTATTACGTTTTCTCGCGTTTTGTTTCCCCTCCGGCCTGCTCATGAGTCGCCTGAGCCATCCTGGTCCTTGTTCAGGGTGCCTTCTCTTCCCCTCAGTTTGTGGTAGCCCCTTCGGTTTCAGTTTCCTCCTCTTTGGTACTGGTGGTAGCTTTATTGGTGTGCAGCCTTTCTCTGTCCTGGCGACGGTCGAGACGGCTGCTTTCCGGAGGGGTTCTTGGGGTATTGGTACTTGTTTGGTTTGGCCGGGGGGTGCGTCCTGTGTTGTCCAGTTGTGCTTTTTGCTGTTGCCAGCGTACCGTGCCTGGGGATGCGCTGTGGTTGATCCGGTTCCTTCGTTCCCTGTTTTCAGGGATCGGGTCTCCCGGGTCGTCCGCAGTGTTTTCCTTCTTCCTGCGGTCTGTCTTTGCGCCCGTGCTGTTCAGACGTTTGCAGCAATTGCTGCTGTGTTGGTGACGTCTCGGGCTCATTTCGGGCGCAGGGAATTGTGGGTCGCACAGGTTTTTGGCCGCCCATCCATATGTGCGTCTGTTCTTGGGCGTTCTTGTTGCCTTGGGTCACAGGTTTGCGACCGGTTGTCTTGGCTTTGCGTTGCAGAGTTTGTGGCGGCCGCCTCCCGGGTTAGCCCTTTCTTTTCCTTCTCTTTGGGTATGAAGCTCCAGGGAGCCGTAGGGGCTCCCCACAGAAAACCAGCGTTGAATGTAATGAAACGCCATTTTCTGGGTGAGCCCCGGAGGCTCCCTGGAAACCCTCCCTCCCACCGGTCGGCGGTTTTTTCGCGTTGGTTGAAGCTTAGCTTCCGAACTGGAGCTTGGCAGCCGGCGCGGTAGGTCCGGGGCTCCCCCCTCCCCCTCCCGGGGTGGGGAGGGCTGCGCGGACGATCGGCGCGGCAGTAAAGTGTGATGTTTGCTTGTTTGCTTGTTTCCTTGGGATTGTAGGGAGTTTTCTACCTCTCTGTTCGGTTTTTGTTGTAGTTTCTTACCATGTGGGGTTTGTTTTGTTACGCCTACCTTTCTGGGTGCCTAACCCCGGTCGATGGCAGATAAGGAAAACCCCCAACCATATGGGGTTTTCCAGGGCCATTGCTCCCTGAAACCTCTCTGAAGGGGCCAGGTTCTGGCGCTGGTCCCTGGTAGGTCTGAACTCCTTAGCTAATGTCCCGGTCTAACATAACATACATTAGCCCGATAAGCTCCAGGGAGCCTCCGGGGCTCACCCAGAAAATGGCGTTTCATTACATTCAACGCTGGTTTTTTGGGTGTGGAAGGGATTAATTCAGTTTACATTATTTCTTATGGGAAAATTCGCTACGGTTTTCGTATTTTTGGTTTTCATACAGTGTCTGGGAACGGATTAAATACGAAAACCAAGGTTCCACTGTGCTACCGGTGAGCAAGATGTAGCTTTTTATCCCACCACCTACCTGACATGCTAATCACCATGAATCAATTATATAGGTTCATCTTCAAGAATACCTGTATTCTTTTATTCATGCATATAAAAGTTAATTTCTTTATCTTAGTTTGACTAATGGTCAACCTTCATTTTTGTATGCTACAAGTGAAACTTGCATTCCCTGTCACATGTGTATCTTAACTTTTGTAAGTAAAATAGAATTTTAGTACTATTTTTCCAGTGCTCAGGGGGGGACAAATTAACATGTTTAGAAGACGAAAAAAAATTAAAAAAAAATTTTCTTGCGCACGGGGTGTAAATGTCCTCAGGACCCCTTAGCAGCTTAAGGGTTAATGATGAATGCAGCTGTTGTACGTTGTGAAATTTTTTATATTATATTTATTACTAAAATGTCGTAAAATTTAACCCCTTTTACTGTGGCACTTCATTGTGGCCACATATATTACTTTGAGTCTGTTTGGAGTTTAACAATTTTAATTTTTGCATTTATAGTAAGAAAATTACCTTCCCTATTCAATAATGACATTAAAAATCATAAAATATAAAAATGTAAATAATTTACTATCTTTAACAGAAAATAAAATCAAGTAACCAGATGCCTGACTGAAGGTTTCCAATATTTCAAATATCATCATAGATATCAGAAATAGGCTTACTCACCAAAGTATTTGATGTACAGTATTTGCAAAATCAAATAATAGCACTCATAGAGGTGATGTACTATATTCCTTACGTAGTTATGTCTGTCACATCAAATGACACCCCCAAACGACTGAGGTTCCAGACCCCAACTCGTGGTCTGGAGATCGGATGTCTAGATGAACATATAAAGATTAATTTTGTTTTTGTCCTATTTGACTTTAGCTGCATCAAATGGGTTGTAAATTTGTATCCTTACCATAGGTGGCTGCCCGTCTACGAGAATATAAGCTGCACTCTCTACTGGTTGTGGGTGGGTTTGAAGCTTACCATGCACTTCTGCAATTGTACGAAGCCCGTGGTAAATACCCCGAGTTCTGCATTCCCATGGTGGTCATCCCATCTACTATTAGCAATAACGTACCAGGCAGTGACTTCAGTCTGGGATGCGATACTGCTCTTAACGAAATTACTGAGGTTAGTAATTGACTACGTTGTTTCTATATAAAAAAAATTATTCTAGAATGTGTTGCCAAAAGAATGTCCTAGAATTAATGAACATCTTGTATATCCATATGGCATATTCTACAATATTCGTGATTAAATTGAGGAAATAAGTTTCTTTTAAATTGCTTGTATATTTTATTATATTTGAACAGATCTGTGACAGAATTAGGCAGTCTGCTCAGGGAACTAAGCGGCGTGTGTTTGTGGTTGAAACTATGGGAGGATATTGTGGTTATCTTGCAACACTGGCTGGTCTTGCTGGAGGTGCTGATGCTGCATACATCTTTGAAGAACAATTTGGCATTCAGGTGGGTTTAAAAATGTGTGTGTATATGCTAGAATAAATCTTTGTAAATACATATGCTTTACTCCTCGGCCATTTAAAGTGCTTTTCTTCCTATTCTGGAAAGAGCCATTTGAGAAGGGGGTTTTAACCCCTGGGCGGCTCTTGCAATTAGTCTGCAACACGCCCAGGAGCAAGAAATAATAAAAAAAAAAAATATTTTGTCGTATAGAAGTGTTCATTTGCATTCCCTGATCACGGGAAAAATAATAATAAATATTGTAAGTGGCATAGTTTGACCGCACTAGGGCAGGAGGTCTGGCAAAAAAGAGGCGTTGACAGAGCACGCGTCTGCTTTCAACGTGTCTACTGGAGGTCTGCTGTCAACCCAACCAATTAAAAATAACAATGCTTTTCGCTCGTATGTGCGCTATGGCCAAAAATAGACGTAATTTGAAATGAAATCGGCTCACGAAAATGACGTATTGTCCAATTTTCTTTTTGAGTCCTCCGGCTTACTCGGTAAGGTTAGGAGAGGAAACTTTCAATTAACGGTTTTCATGACGTCTTGAAACCTAACTGCCCTCCTAACCTACCAGAGGACTCTCAACTTACTGTTTTGGGGAAAAAAAAAAAAAAAAAATTTTTAATTGTTTTTAATTTTCAAATTACGTCCCTTTTCTGCCAAACAAACTGCCAAATTCAGACGTAATTTGTAAGAAGACAGATTGATGCTCCACCCAAGCTGTCAGGTGGGAGTTGCCACAAAGATTCTATTAAATAATTATTTCAATGTCTGATTGATTTTTTCTTATTTTTTTGCAGTAATATTATTCAATAGTGTGTAATGTGATATATTTATATAATAAAATGTGTAAACCTTTGCTATACTCAAAATTTTGGTGTGCATATTAGTGATTCAATTATTTTCATAAAACAATAAACAAATAGTTTTGCAGTTATTATACTATATACAAAGGTTATGTATAAGTATCTGCATGTTTTGTTCACCATAACGAACCACTAAGTTGGTATGGTGAGTCAAAAAGCAATGAAGAGTAGCCACCACTCCAGCCACTCCCTCCCTCAACAACTACTCACTTGCCAACATTCTCCTCCCACAATATTGCTTTTGCTTTTATTCACTTTATACAGTCGTTATATACTGTATAAGTACAGTGGCACCTCGACTTACAATTGCGCCGACTTGTGATAATTTTGAGTTACGATGTCAATTTGATCGGATGATGTGACTCGACTTACGATAGTGTTGTTGACTAACGATATTTGTTGATACATGGTCGGATCGTCCGAGCACGTGGTTCCCGGTCGCGCGGGCCGACCTACCTCGGTTTACTAGAACTGCCCGCTTAGTAACGATCACACTTATAAGAAATTCCATTTTTTGGTGATTTTTTTTTTTTTTTTTTTTTTGCTTTTTGAACATAAAACTGATTATTATATATCACGCCATGGGTCCCGAGAAAGTCAGTGGTAAGGTTCAACATGTGAAAACACATGTGAGGATGACCATAGAAACAGCTGAGCAAATTTCTTCAGGAAAGGTCTTGGTCTTCGGCAGTACAGAATGTCTCTTCCTCAACAATTAGGATGTGGTGTAAACTGTGAGAAGAAATGCAAACTTTTGTTGAAATGACTCTCCCAGAGCAAGCTGCAACACTGTGATGCATCACTACAGACAAATATCAAAACGAAGGGAAAAACAAGTGTCACTAGACAAATTTTTAGTGAGACAAACAAGCAGTGAACCACAACCAGGTCCTAGTGGTATGCAGGCAAAACGTAGGAGAGAGTATACCCCAGAGAAATCATCACTGCCTGATGTTATAATGGAAGGGGACTCCCCTTCCAAAAAGTAACACCTCCTCTCCTCCCCCCTCATCACTATCTTCCATACACCATCAAGTCTCTTCCATAAAGGTAAGATAAACATAGGTACGGTATTGTAGTTATAGAAAAAAATTGTATTCAGTATAAAATGTATTTTTAAATTAATATTTTTGGTGGTGTGGAACGGATTAATTCAATTCCCTTTATTTCTTATAGGAAAGATCACTTCGACTTACGATATGTCTCTGGGAACGGATTACCATCATAAATCGAGGCCCCACTGTACTGTATCTACACGTTTTATTCACCATAACTGTACAACTAAGCTGGTATGGTGAGGTCAGGCAATAAGAGACGTTGCCACATACACAATCAACTGGTGGCTGCCTCCCTCACTGGTTCAAGGCCACCTGTTGTGCTTCATTCCTCTTTCCATGGAGTGGACACAGTCGACTCCACCTCCTTCCTTTGGCTTTGCCAGATGTACGGTCGCCCGGAGGTGGACTTCTGCATCGGCGTGGTCTCGGCATCTTCCATTGTACGTGGCACCTTTCCCTATCTGCGAGGCCATCACGGTAGATGCTTTTCAGCAGTACTGGTTGAGATGGGGGTTCTGTACTCTTTCTCCTGGTCCAGCTGTTGCTCCAGGTTCTAGCTCACTTGGAATCCTATCGTGGAAGGGTAATTCTCCTGGCTCCATGGTGGCCGGCCCAGCCTTGGATTCAGGTACTGTACTGTTTACTCGGTGTCTGAATCTGGGTGTTTTTCCACGGCTCCATCTCTTCCACCAGATCGGTCCCAGTGAGGTACCTCACTGGTTCGCGTTACTGCTCTGTTCTACGTGTCTGGTCGTTTTAATGCATGTGTATCCCCCATTTCTATGGTGATCAAATGGCTTCTTTGATGGCGTCCCACCTGCAGTCGTCTTCTCAGCGACATTATAAAGTTTCTTGGCGGTCTTTCCTTCACTTTCTCTTTGATGGTTTTGTCAATTTCGGACCAGGTTGTTTTGTTCTCTTTCTTTCTTTCTGGATCAGCCTTTCATGCCTCCTATTGTCACTTCTTATCATGCGACGTTGGCAGAGCCACCCCAGCTTGCATTTGGGGTGGATGTTGTGTCCGCTCCATTCCACAAGCTTTCTCTTGCATTTTTTCACCTCCAGCTTGCTCATGCATCACCTGAGCCTTCTTGGTCTTTAGACTGTGTTCTTTCTTTTCTTCTCCTTGCTTTGTTGTGGCCCTTTCAATTCAGGATGGCTTTTGGAAGGCCATGGTCTTTGGGGGAGCTTCATGCTCTCCTCCTATGCTGGGAAGTACTGTTCGTTTGGTTCAGGTGGTTGTTTTGTTCATTTGCAACCTTCTCTTTCTTTTCTGGTGAAGAATGAGATGGTTGGCTTCTGGAGGGGGGCCCGTTGGTTGTGGATGCTTAGTTGGTTAGGCCGGGGGTGCATCATGTCTTGTCCCGTGGTTACTTTATGCGGCACCAGCAGAGGTGCCATAGGCACAATCAGAGAACACTGTATAAACATCAGAGGTCCGTTGTTCAACGTCCTCAGTGACTATAAGAAATGTTGCCAGAACAACCGTGGACATCTTCAAGAGAAAACTTGATTGTTTTCTAAAAAAGTGCCGGACCAACCGGGCTGTGGTGGGTATGTGGGCCTGCGGGCCGCTCCAAGCAACAGCCTGGTGGACCAAGCTCTCACAAGTCAAGCCTGGCCTTGGGGCCAGGCTTGGGAAGTAGAAGAACTCCCAGAACCCCATCAAGCAGGTATCTGCAGGCCATTGGTTCTGTGACGGATGCTTTTTGGGTGGATCCAGTTTCCCTGGTTCCCCTGTTCCAGGGCTGCGTTTCTCGGGTTGTCTGCTGTGTCATAAAGTCCAGCCAGCCTGCAATCTACCCTCGTGCCCATAACTTTGGGAAGTATGCTGCTCTCACAGCAGCTTTTGACAACATGTCTGGGTAGTCTTTCGGACGGGGGTTTCGGAGGTCGAAGAGGGTCCTGGCCACCAGGTTATTTTGTGAGCATTCCGGTTCCTTCCCAGCTGTGTGTGGCTTTGGGGTGCCTGTCTCTGCCATCTGGCTCTTCTTTGTCTTGAGACCTGTGGTGCTGCAGCCTCCCGGGTAAGTCCCTCCTTTTCCTTTGGGTAGTTAGCTTCAGACAGCCAGAGCATTGAAAGCTTCAGAGCTTCAGAGAAAACCAGCATTGAATGTAATGAAACTCCATTTTTTGGGTGAGCCCCAGAGGCTCCCTGATATCCTCCCTCCTTCTGGTTGGTGGTTTTTCATCGTTCCAGAACTGGAGTGGTGGGTTACTGGCTTCCCCTACCTAAGGATGGTGGGTAACACTAATGAGCGGAAGTGCTAGTCCCATGAAGGGTTGCTTGTTTGGTTTCTTTCTTGAAGTTATTTTGATCTTGTCAGCTGTAGACTGCACAGGTTAACCAGACAGTGATCTGTTTTAATTTGCCTTCCTTTCTGGATTCTTTCCTGGTTGATGGCAATTATGGCATACTTTAAATGTGAAGTGCTCATAGTCCATTGCTCCCTGCACCTCTCTGGGAAGGGGGGGGGGGGTTAGGTTCTGGCTCGTGGTCCCCGGTAGGCATAAGGACTCTTGTGCTATATTAGTTTGGGGTCATCAGTCACATCAGTCGAGATAGCTTCAGGGCACCTCTGGGGCTCACCCAGAAAATGGCGTTTGATTACATTGAACGCTGGTTTTTTAATATTTTATATTTTGTTATACTATGTATTTAATCAATCTGTTTGTTCTCATCAACAGGAACTCCAGTTAGATGTGTATCATATGGCAGCTAAAATGGCAGAAGGTGTCCAGCGTGGTCTCGTTTTACGAAATGAAAACGCTAACGAAAATTATACCACAGATTTTATATTTAGGCTATATTCAGAGGAAGGCAAAGGTATCTTCAGTTGCAGGAAAAATGTATTGGGTAAGTTTCTATTCACATTATAACAGTTTGTGTATGTAATCACTCTTAGAAATACTAGTATTCCTAATAGGGATATACCCCTATTTATTTCATCCTGCCTGATATTTTTTGCTATGTTTTTAGTTCCTCTAAAAACTTGAAATCAGAATTGACACTTGTGTACGATCATAAAATTAAATCGTGACGTTGAAATTGAAAGGTTTAACTTCCTGGACTCATTGTATATTTCTGGATGTATATCATAACCTTACATATACTTTTAATTAGCCCTTGAATATTTTCAGGAATTTTATCTTAAAATATGCTACAGCAGAGAATTTTGTTAATGTTGACCAGACCACACACTAGAAGGTGAAGGGACGACGACGTTTCGGTCCGTCCTGGACCATTCTCAAGTCGATTGAGTCGAAACGTGGTCGTCCCTTCACCTTCTAGTGTGTGGTCTGGTCAACATTCTTCAGCCACATTATTGTGACTCATTGCCTGCAATTTTGTTAATTTTTTATACCCGTTATTTAGATCTTTTAAATAAATTTCATGGTTATGGGTTACGTAAAACAAAAGTATTTGAAACTAAACAAAAGCACTATGTAACTAATTTGTAATAAAAGTAGCAATGTCAGGTGATGGTGAGAGTTGACCATTGGTGGAGCATTTGGTCATTGTGAGCCTTGTGTAACATTGGCTCATTGTAAACCTTGTGTAACATTGGCTCATTGTGAACCTTGTGTAACATTTGTTCATTGTGAGGAACTACAATCTTTGTATATCATTTCAGGTCACATGCAGCAAGGAGGATCTCCCTCTGTATTTGACCGCAACATGGGCACAAAGATGGCTGCAAAGGCTGTCACGTGGCTGACAGACCAGATGCTCGCCCATCGTAGGGATGATGGGGTCGTGTTTTGTGATGAACCACAAACTGCTGTGCTACTTGGTCTACAAAAGAGATCATATGTGTAAGTTTTAGAAAATCTATTTGTAATCTTCTACACACAATAATCATTTGCTCTGTCATTTTCTTATCTGAACTAGCAGTGAAGAAATCCTTTTATTGTGGGCTTCTGGGGACAGGTCTAGTGTGATATCAACCCCCAGAACTTTCTCTTTCTGATTCCTGAAGGATTTCATCCCCCAACTGGTACATTGTGTTTGGCCTCCTGCTCCCTACGCCTATCTTCATCACTTTGCACTTGCTCAAGATAAGTGCACGCGCACACAGGAATTCCTCTTTGTCAATTTGGTCTAACATGAATCGACCAAATTGACAGGAATTCCTGAAACTAGCAACAATACGAACAAGAGAACATGGGGGGGGGGGGGGCTGATGGCTGAGTGGACAGCACTCTGGATTCATAGACGTATGGTCCAGGAATCGATCCCCCTGCAAAGTTGGAAACAAAGGGGCGTTTCTTTCACCCTGATTCCCCTGTTCAGCTAGCAGTAAATAGGTATCTGGGAGTTAGACAGCTGCTACGGGCTGCTTTCTAAGTGGGTGTGTGGGGGGGGGGCACTTGATTGATTGACAGTTGAGAGGCAGGCCCAAAGATCCAGAGCCCAAAGATAGGGGAGTCGGTGGCTGAGCGGACAGAACACTGGACGCATGATCCTGTGGTCCTGGGTTCAATCCCGGGTGCCGGCAAGAAACAATGGCCAGAGTTTTTCTGGTCATTGTTTCTTGCCGGCGTTTTTGTTTTCTTCCATTGTTTTCTGGCCTGATGCCCCTGTTACCTAGCAGTAGATAGGTACCTGGGAGTTAGTCAGCTGTCACGGGCTGCTTCCTGGGGGTGGAGGCCTGGTTGAGGACCGGGCCGCGGGGACACTAAGCCCCGAAATCATCTCAAGATAATCTCAAGATCTCAAGAAGCTCAACCCCCACAAGCACAACTAGATGAATACAGATTCAAGCAAAGGAAACAAAGGTCTGAAGAAATATTAGAAAGTTTTCTTTTGCAAACAGAGTGGTAGATGGTTGGAACAAGCTAGGCAAACAGCCCATCCTCCTCAGGTTTCCTAACTTCAAGAAAATGGGACAGTATGTCACTTCTCGAGCCACTTCTATTTTCAAGTACAAAATTTTTTGGCCCTATGTAACACATACGATCGAAATGCGACGTTCCGTGTAAGAGGACAAGTTGGAGAAGGTGGTGGAGGCCAAAACCGTCGGTAGTTTCAAAGCGTTGTATGACAAAGAGTACTGGGAAGACGGGACACCATGCGCGTAGCTCTCATGCTGTAACTACACTTTACTGATGTTTTGACGGTGAAAAGTTTAAATAAATAAAAAAAATTAACTAAGGATCTGAGATTTTAATAATTGGGTAGACTATATTGGAATCTAAAATACAAACATCTGATATAAAGAATTGGTATGATAACCACTGTTGACTGACAAGTATAAGACGAATGATATGTATCAGAGATTGTGGGGGGGGGGGATACTTGTCATACAGGCTTCTTGTAAATTACAGTATTGAGGTGAACAAAATAATAAAGGAATAAATTGGCAAACACTCATCAGTGTTGGGGGCAGTCAGCCTCAACCCCGGCAATACGGGGTGGGAGAACTGGCCATGGAAACAATCTTCACAATTTCTTGTAGCTAAAAGCCCATTTTGCTTTATTTTCATTAGTCTACTGTGCCTCCGTGCAGCACATTTTCACATTTTTTCTCTGTGCTGTTGCATTCCCACTCCTCAAAATTGGGAATGTGGTGTTAATAATATATTTAAATAATGAACAAGATCTTTTTACCCGATTCCCCCTCCCTTTCTGGCTCGTTGTCGTCGTGAGGGGGCTTGGTAGGTGGCTACCAGAGTGATGCTCCATGGGTCAGTCCTCTGTCCTTTTGAAGCCTTGTGTTCCTGCTGCTGTCTTCACCAATTTTGCCAGAAATCTTTTCCTTTTCCTTGTGTTTCATTTTTCTCCCCCCGGTCGGCCGAGCGGACAGCACACTGGACTTGTGATCCTGTGGTCCCGGGTTCGATTCCGGGCGCCGGCGAGAAACAGTGGGCAGAGTTTCTTTCACCCTATGTCCCTGTTACCTACCAGTAAAATAGGTACCTGGGTGTTAGTCAGCTGTCACGGACTGCTTCCTGAGGGTGCAGGCCTGGTCGAGGACCGGGCCGCGGGGACTCTAAAGCCCCGAAATCATCTCAAGATAACTCAAGATCTCAAGATAACCTCCCCCTCTTCTCCTTTCTAATTGTCACTTCCTGCTGACCTTTTGCCAGTCTTGATTATTCTTTCAGACTTCTTCTATTTTGATGCCTGGGTGTTTGGGAGGCATACTCTCTCACCCGTAGAACTGTAGTACCCAACATCTCGAGCGATGGGGGACTTTTATTGTCAATCCTCCTTTCGTCGATGAACCCGATTTCGATGGAGTGATGGTTCTTAAGGTGGTGATTGTAGGGCATATACTCAGGATGCACTCCCTAGGGGGGCCTCGGCAAGACCAGCAGCATGTCTCTTGTTGGGTGTCCTATTCTTTAATTGTGGCTCCGTGGTGAGTGCGGGGACACATTAGTGAATGAAAGTATTACCTCTCATTTCCATGTCGATGAATAATGTTCCTCTTATGACTTCTCAGGTTTGTGGGGTGGGCTACCAAGCCCCCCGAGTTGGACTGTGTTGGAACACCGGGCTCTGTAGCCCCCGCTACATTGGGCCCAGACCTAGCTCCAACTTTGACCCTCCTGACTACTTCCCCTGGCTTCTCTCCCTCCTCTGTGGTTGGGTTGAGCCACACGCCCCCAGCAGTGACCACCTCGTTCCCTGGCACGGCTCAGTCTCTCATTGTGACTACTGCGCCTTTTAAATCCTCTTTTTCTAAGGGGTTCTCAATGCCGTCCCCGCCACGGCCGCACTCGCATTATCCCTTCCCATACTAATATGTACCAAGCCTTGTTTGGACCTGCTTTATGGGCTAAATACTTTGATCTTCTCCCTCTGGATTCTACACCTCCTGACAATTTCTCCCTCCATAAACACCTTGTTGATTCGGTGGATGCCTCTGTAACTTTTAACCCCACTCGTTTCGGTACACGTGTCGTCGCTGCTCCTTCACCGGATGCAGCTACCCGCTTAGCCGCATTGTCCTGCATTGGGGAGACCCCTGTTTGGGTCTCCAAAACGCTCGGTTAAATGCAAGTGTTGGCACTGTTCTCCTCCCACACCATGTTGCAACTGGTGTTAGGGACCTGAAAGACTGTCATGAGGATATTAAACATTAAACATACCCTCGAAGCCCAAGGCCATCCTGTCCTCCAGGTGGACAAGATCATTCGACCCCCTTGTGGTTGCCGCCATCAGCCCCTTCGAGTTGTGAAAATCGCCTTCGATAGTAGAACCCTTCTGCCCCTCTATCATTCTTGCTGGTGCCAGGTGGTCCGTTCAGGAGCACACCCCCCTCTCCTAGACTTTGTAATAAGTGCTGGAAGTTTGGGCACGGTGCCCTCAAATGCACAAGTCTTGTTTCTCCATGCCCCATGTGTGGGGACGATAGCCATTCTATGATAGATTGCTCATCTCCCCAGGCTCGCTGCCTCAATTGCGGTGAGGCTCACCCTACCTTCTCCCGTACGTGTATCCACTACAAGCTTGAGGAAGCAGTCCTGAACTTGAAACACCAGGATCGTTTGACTTTCCCTGAGGCGAGACGCCAATTCTGCCATCTCCACACTTTCACTGGTGTATCTTATGCTCGTGTGTTGCATTCTACCTCTCCTCGTCCTTCCCACCTTCCTCAGTCCCACAACCGTTTCCAGGCCTTGGACCCGGACACGCCCACTGCCTCCTCCCCTATTCCTTTACATCCTGTCCAGGAAGGTCTCCCTCCTGATTCTCCTTCCTACCCTGTCCGCCATGTCTCCTGTGTCTTCTTTTCCTTCTCCCCCTGATCCTTCTTCCTGTCCCTCCCCACTATCTCTTGGCCCTCCACGCTGCCTGTCTGTCCAGGCTGATGTCCATCATCCTCCCAGCACCCTCATTTTGTTCACTCCTGTTCTTCTCCTGCTGAGACCCTTGAGTCTATCGCCCAGTACGTTGTTGCTGGAACACCTGTCCCTGAGTCAAACATAAGCCTGGCTCCTCTCCTTCCTCCTCCCCAGCAGGTAAGAAGGCATCGCTTTCTTCCTCGCCCCCCCAACTCTGACTTTCACTTCATTCCCTCCCATTTTGGTGGTTGGGCCCCCTGTCCCAAATATGGAGGTTTCTTTCGCCCCCGATTCCCTCTTGGTTGCTGTCCTTGCTGAGATGCGATCCCCAGTTTCTACCCCCCTTTTTGCTGCTGTTCTTGACAGCCCCTCTCAGTTGTCTTCCCCTCCTCCAGACCCTGTCCGTCGGCCTCTGGTCTGTCCTCCTGCTCCCTTCCCTCCATCCTTATTAAGTTTACCCATGCCTCCCTAACCCTGATTTTGCTGATCCTGATCGTGAGCTTATTTAATATGCTGAGTTCTTCTTTACCTTTGTTTTTTCATTGTTCTCTGTTGCTGTCCTTTCTCTTTTTGATAATGTCTATTCTTCAATGGAATATTCATGGATTTTATGCCTTCTGATTACACAGCTTTCATTACTTCGTGTTTGTCTCCAGGAACCAATGCTTGGTGCTCGTCCTGGTCACTTTCCTGGTTATCCTTATCTTTCTCCCCCCCCCCCCCAGCTCTTGCAGGGGCGCATAACTCTACTGCTCTCTTGATTCGTACTGATATTCCCTTCGTTCCCCTACTTTTTCCGTCGCCTATCCATTGTTCTGCTTCCATTGTCCATTGACGTTCCCGTTCCAATCTGCATCTCTTCCTCTTTTTTCTTATAGGTATGCGGTTTGAACATATTACATAGCTAAGGAAGCTATCTGCACTTGTCCCATCTCCCGTAAAGGTATTCCTTATTCCAACTTTTATCCAGTTATTCATGCCTCCATCCTTACCCATTGTTAGGGTTGTTGGTCTTCTGTTATTGGTAACAAACTACGTACTCTTAAGGGAGGTGCGTCCCTGTGGCCTTCCTCTTGCCACCGTAACCGGCTTATGGAAAACAGCTCTGGCAAGGCTTCGTATTGGCCATGCGCGCTCAACTCATGGACACTTTATGGAGCGCCACTCTGCTCCTTATTGTTCTAACTGCATTGTCCCTCTTACAGTTGTGCATATCCTTGTTGAATGTTCTGACTTCCAGGACGAGCGTGTCTTACTTTCCGACTGTTCCCTACGGTCCTTTTTCCCTCGATAGAATTCTTGGTGAATCAGATACTTTTGATATCGTTTGCCTCGTGTGTTTCTGCTCATTTGGCAGCCTCGGTGATATTTAGTGCCATCTGATTATTCTGCACATTTGATGGTGCGACATAGCTTTCCCGGCTTGGTGCCTTCTTTGATAATTATTTACTTACTTTTTACCAGATTCAGTGCATAAACCAAATTTTCAATATATAATGCTGTTGTACTATATATTCACACATTTGTTAGTGTGTAGAGTATTTTACATGCTGTCTCTTGTCCTCAGATTCCAGCCTGTGATAGAGTTGAAGCGCCAGACTGACTGGGACCGTCGTATTCCTATCAATCAGTGGTGGCTAAAGCTCCGCCCCCTCCTCCGTATCTTGGCCAAACACGAAGCTGCTTATCATGAAGAGGGTATTAATGTTAAGGAAGTGGAAGAAGCTTTGGACTAGGTATATAAACCCAAATAATGCAGGAGACAGCCCTAAGTTAGCTTTATTTAGTCTGTTGACATGTCCCCCTTTTACCCCCTCCTCCCCTTCTTCTCGGTATATTTTTTTTCATGTTCATGTATAAACCATTTATGTAATTCATTTTTAGAAAATTTTAAATGAAAGATGAACTGCAGCTAAGGAATGTAGTATATGTACTTGTGGATCTCAATTGTTAATAAGCACTTGAAGTATGCATCATTTAGACTTGTATTTTTAATATGTGCAGTGCTTGTATGAGGGTTTTTTCACACTATTTTTCTTTTTTTTTTCCCCACATAATTGGTTGTGATTTGGAATATTTGAGTACAGTTATCCATGGCTGTGTTCCTTAATATATCAAATGTTAAACTCGCTTGGTATGTTCCTATGACGTGTGCCAGATCAGCTGGATTGTGATGGCTTTTGGCCTGCAGGCCTCGATTAGCAATAGTTGGATTATTGGTTGGATTATTAGTGAAGCCAGGCTTCAGGCTGGCTTGAAAGACAGAAACACACTAAGCCAGCCTTAAATAACTACAGGTAATGTGCTCTTCAATACCAGTATTCTCAATTTATTTATTGGCATGTAATTGCCTCGATTATTTTCGTTATTTTTAATTGACTTGATGAGGTAAATACCTCGCCTCCCTCACGAACAATAACACCTTGCCTCCCTCACAACACTAAATTCTCAAGTAGAAAGTCGGTAAGCGAATAAAGTCATAATTCATAAATTCCCAAACTTAGTAATACCCATTACCTTTTATATTAAAGAAATAATGATGATAAACTAGAACATGTTTATTTGAATTTAATTTGAATGGTTGATGATTATTATAATTGTAAATATTTATTAGTAGTACTCTTGTTAATATTAACACAATTATTATTTCTGCAGTGCCTATGTTATTACCCCATTTGTCACTTTCATGGGATGGGAAAGTATTTTTCAATTGTTCTCAAATTTAATTTATATAATGTTTTGAAAGTGTACAACTCTGATTTTAAATGCACAATATTGATGTTGGGACAACATGCTGCTGCTTGCGAGGCATGCTCATTTCTGGTTTCTTGGGCCACATACCCATTGAGCATAGAGGAACTCTCGTCCTTAGATCAAATAGTGTAGTGAGGGGAAGGTCTAATCTGGTGGATAATTTACACATAGGTGTGAAAAGAAGTTTATTGAAGGTAGTGCTTGATTACATGTAAAATAGCACATTTTTAGGTTGTATTCAACATTAATATCTCAAAGTGGTCTTTGCATGTTATTTAATTTTTTATTGGATATAGTTTTCATTAAGGAAGAAGTTGTACTACTGTAATACATTAACAGGAAAAAGCCTCTAGTCAAGAGCATGTTAAAGAAGACAGGTTTAAATTATCATAAAGGCAAGCCATTTTCTGTGTTCATTCGATCAGTCTTTACATGCTTGTCTACTAACCTTTTGCGTTAATATCCACTCTCCATTTTTATATTAGTTCTGGTACGCAAGACTACCTTACATTGTTAATACTGTCATGTTACTTTATCATTGTGAAATGTGATTTTAATTGTTTCAAATGATGTATATTGATAAATATGTGCCTGTGTAAACCACTTGTAAGTTGGTTCTCTTGCAAATGTATGCGTAGTACATGCCAGGGAGACTGAGGAACTGCCAATTATCATTAGTAGGAAAGCTTTGTGCCATAGAAAACTCTTCAGGAGTAATTATTTTGTTTATATCAATCCACTGGCCTACATGTAATGTTCAGAAAATAGTGTAATGTGATGCACCATGATAGCGGCTCATGTGCTAAATTCTATCTGTATCCCATCTCTCATTATATCTTGGCCTGTCCTCAGTGTGTGTTGCCATATAATAATATAAAATAAAAGTTGTGAATCAAATTGTATTCATTTATTCGCTTTTTAATATTTAAGTAACCTTTTGCTAGCTGTTCTGCATTACCTTTTGTATTGTTCTGATTTTCTGGATTGCAAATCTTTGTATTTAATATCCTCGTGGCAGTATTTTAGTTCCCTATCACCAGGTGCAATATGGTGCGGGGGAATAACTGTGCCAATGCTGGCATTTAATTGGCCATTTTTCAAGATCCGAACAGGGGTCTCCCCAATGCAGGGCAAGTCTAAGCGGGCAGCCACTTTCTGAGAAGGGGGCTGCATTGATACGTGAACCAGTAAGGGTGGGGTTAAAAGTGACAAAGGTATCCAATGAATCAACTAGGTGTTTATGGATGAATAAATCGTCAGGATGTGTAGAATTAATATGACCGAGATCAAAATAGTTTCCACTACCACCCACAGGATGGGTGGTAATGGAAAGTATTAGGCGCACAATGAGCTCAGGGACTGAACCCCACAATTCATTTTGCAAAACTAAAGTTAACAAAGCTTGGAAAGTATTACAGTAGAATCGAAAGGAATCTTGTGCGTGCGACTGTGGAGGTGTCGGCACCGAGCAACCCCCAGTATAAGAGGGTGGGTGTTGTAAAAGGTACTCGCATAGTTATGTTTGCGGAGGTTGAGCTTTCTCTCTTTGGTCCTGCCTCTCAACCGTCAATCAACTGGTGTACAGATTTCTGAGCATACTGGGCTCTATCATACTTATATTTGAAACTGTATAGTCAGCCTCCACCACATCACTGCCTAGTGCATTACATTTATTAACTACTGACACTGAAAAAATTCTTTCTAATGTGTCTGTGGCACATCTGGGGGGTGCAGTTGTTAAAATGAGATGGCGCCATAGGTATTGTGGCTCCATCTCTAGTATTTTAAATAAATACTAGATATTTGAGGTGGTCACCACTGGGGGCTTGGGTCTCAATTCAGCCAAAGAGGTGGGAGGGGAGTATTCAGCAGGGTCAGGGAAGCGGCTTTGAAGGCTATAGAGCCTGGCCTTCTATCGCAGTCTGACTCTGTGGGCCTGGATTGACAAGGTGGAAACAGGAAATATTTACAATATCAATAGAACAAGGGGGCACGGATGGAAGGTTGAGCCTCGGATGTGTCAGATGTTAAAAAGTTCTCTTTTAGCATAACGGTAGTGAGTAAATTGAATGACCTAAAAGGAACAGTTTGGAGAGGCTACCTCCATTCATCCCCTCCGTGGTGAGGGGCTCACGTACACCTCCCTGGGACAGGTGTGGGTTGCCTGTGCCCCCCTCCTGCCCCCTCTTTGGGTGGTGTACGTGCTGAAGGGCACCATGTAGGGGCCTTGTGAGCCATTGGACCACCCGCTGGAGGGGTCGCCTGTGAGAGGCCGCCCTGAGTGGATGGTTGGGTGTCCAGGCTAGGGCGATAGGGGGACTGGGGTCTTAGCAGCAGTGTGGGAGAATGAACGAAGTAGTAGGACTCCCCAGTTGAAAAGGGGGAGCACCGCTGGGGACGACACACCCTTCCTGCACTGGCCCGCGCTCGGCCTCCCTGGCTGCCCTGGTAGGTGGTATCCCTTGGTTCCGGGTCCCATCCCTTGTATATTGGTTTGCTATATGGATGACGACTTGACTACTCCTAACCAGGCTCATGGGGTGGGCGACCAGGCCCCTGAGTCGGTCCGTCCTGGAAGACCGAGATCTGTAGCCTCCGCTACAGAGCCCGGTTTAGGCCCAGACCGGACTCTTCCTCCCTGCTCCCCTCCCTCTATCTGTGGTTGGGTCGAGCCCCAAGCCTGCTGTGGTGACCGTCTTGTCCCCTTGCACGGCTCCATCTCTTCTTGCGACTACTGCACCTTTCGACCCGTCTCTCTCTACGGGTTCTCATCGCCGTACCCGCCACGGCCGCTCTCGTATGCTCCCTTCCCATCCTACTTTGTTCCATGCTTTGTTTGGTCCTGCTACATGGACTAAGTACTTTGACCTCCAACCTTTGGACTCGACTCCTCCTGACGATTTTTCCCTTCATAGGCATCTTGTCGATTCCGTGGATGCCTCTGTCACCTTCAACCCCACTCGTCTTGGTACCCGTGTCGTTGCTGCTGCTCCTCAGGATACGGCCACTCGCTTTGCCGCCTTATCTTGCCTTGGCGAAACCCCTGTTCGGGTCTGGAAGAACGCTCGGTTGAACAGTGCCAGTGTGGGCACTGTTCTCCTCCCGCACCATGTTGCGACTGGTGTTAGGGATCTCAGGGACTGCCACGAGGATATCAAGCATGTCCTCGAGGCCCAGGGTCATTCTGTCCTCCAGGTGGATACATTTACTCGTCCCCCTCGTGGTCATCGCCGTCTGCCTCTTCGGGTTGTGAAGGTTACCTTTGATGGTAGGACCCTTCCATCCTCTGTCATTCTTGCTGGTGCCAGGTGCTCCGTTCAGGAGTATATTCCATCTCCTCGGCTCTGCAGTAAGTGCTGGAAGTTTGGGCATGGTACCCTCAAATGCTCTAGTCCTGTCTCTCTCTGTCCCCTGTGTGGAAGCGAGGGTCATTCTAAGTTAGGTCATGACAGTCTCCGTGGTGTAGTGGTAAGACACTCGCCTGGCGTTCCGCGAGCGCTATGTCATGGGTTCGGATCCTGGCCGGGGAGGATTTACTGGGCGCAATTCCTTAACTGTAGCCTCTGTTTAACGCAACAGTAAAATGTGTACTTGGATGAAAAAACGATTCTTCGCGGCAGGGGATCGTATTCCAGGGACCATAGGATTAAGGACTTGCCCGAAACGCTACGCGTACTAGTGGCTGTACAAGAATGTAACAACTCTTGTATATATCTAAAAAAAAAAAAAAAAAAAAAAAAAAAAAGTTGGAGTGCACTTCTCCCCAGGCCCGCTGCCTCAATTGCGGTGAGGCCCACCCTACCTTCTCCCGTGTGTGTATTCGTTACAAACTTGAGGCAGCTATCCTCAACTTGAAGCACCGGGACCGTTTGTCTTTTCCTGAGGCTCGGCACCAAGTTCATCGTCCCCCCTCTTTCGCCGGTGTCTCCTATGCTCGCGTGGTGCGCTCTTCCTCTCCTCATCCTTCCCGCCTTCCTCAGTCTCACAACCGTTTCCGAGCCTTAGACCCGGACACGCCCACCACCACCTCCCCTGTTTCCCTCCGTTCTGTCCCGAAGGATCCCCCTCCTGGTTCTCTGTCTAGGGCTCCTCTTCTTTCTACCCAGTCTGTCACGTCTCCTGTGTCTTCTATTTCCTCTCCTTCTAGTCCTCCTTCCCGTCCTTCTCCTCCGTCTCTTGGCTCTCCACGCCGCCTGACTGTGCGGGCCGACGTCCATCGCTCTCCTGATGGTTGTGTTGTTCGCTCTCACTCTTCTCCTATCGAGACACTGGAGTCTGTTGCTGCTGGGACGCCTGTATCTTTGAGTCAGAAGCGGAAACCTGGCTCCTCTCCTTCCTCCTCCCCTGTCGGTAAGAAAGCTTCACTTTCTTCTTCACCCCCTATCTCTGATTCTATCGTTCCTTCCCCTCCCGCTTCGGTGGTGGTGCCCCCTGTTCCTACTGTGGGGGTTTCTTTAGCCCCGGGTTCCATCTCGGTTACTGCCCTTGCTGAGGTGCGCTCCCCTCTTTCTGCCTCCCCTTCCTTCTCCTCCAGACCCTGCTCGTGCACCTCTGGTCCGTCCTCCCGCTTCTTGCCCTCCTTCTTTACTCGGTTTACCCATGCCCCCTAACCCTGACTTCGCTGACCCTGATCCTGACTCTGTGCTTTTTTAGCGTACTGTGTTCCTTCTTCACCTTTGTTTCTTCTTTGCTCTCTGTTTCTCTCCTCTCTCTCTTTGCTGATGTCTTTTCTCCAGTGGAACATCCGTGGATTTTACGCCAATTTCCTTGACCTCCAACTTCTCATTTCACAGTTTTCGCCCCTTTGTGTCTGTCTCTCCAGGAGCCGATGCTTCGTTTTCGTCCTGGTCGCTTCCGTGGCTATTTTTTTCTCTCCCCGGTCCATAATTCTTCTGCTCTTTTGATTCGTTCCGATGTTCCCTTTGTCCCCTTACTTTTTTCCTCGCCTCTCCACTGTTCTGCCGCCCGTATCTTTGTGCGTAGATGGTACACGGTTTGTTCCATTTATTCTCCCCCCCCTCTACTGTCCCACTTTCTCTTCCCGATCTTAAACACCTCCTAGACTCCTTGCCGGAGCCTGTGCTCCTGCTGGGTGATTTCAATTGTCATCATGCCCTTTGGGGTGATGTACTGACAAACACCCGGGGTCGCCTCCTTGAACCTTTCATCCTCTCTTCTTCCCTGTCCTTTCTTAATTCTGGTGAGCCCACTCATTTGGACTCTCGGACTCGCTCCCTGTCTTGTCTCGATCTTTCTCTGTGCTCGTCATCCCTTTCCTTAGATTTCGGGTGGCGAGTCCTTGATGACCTCCATGGCAGTGACCATTTTCCTATCCTTGTCACTTTTTTCTCCTTTCGCCCTCCTCTCTCCTTCCCTAGGTGGCGGTTTGCCGAGGCTGACTGGTGCCTCTTTGCTCTCCGTGCTACTATTTCCGACCTCTCCGTTTTACCTCTCCCTTGCGCCCTCCTTCTTTTTCATGACACTGTCTTTGACACTGCCCTCCACTCTATTCCTCGTTCTTCTTCTCGGGGAACGCGGAAGTGCGTTCCCTGGTGGAGTTTGGACTGCGCTCGGGCTGTCCGCTGTAAGCGTGCAGCCTGGAAGAGACATCGCCGTCGGCAGACGGTTGAGTCTTTTCTTTTGTTTCGGAAGGCGAGTGCGGTGGCCCGTAGGACCATCCATGCGGATGGACGTCTTATGTCTCCACCATTACGTCCGAAACTCCTTTTCCACTGGTCTGGAAGCGTATCCGCAAGATTCCGGGTAAGTTTGTTCCTGATGTCTCACCGGTCCTTCGCCTCCATGGTGCTCTTGTGGCGGACCCGTTGCAGGTTGCGACCGAACTGGGTTCCCATTTCTCCTCTGTTAGTTCTGGTTCTCATCTTCCCCACTCCTTC